TGGCTAGATAGATAGATATATAGATAGGCAGACAGATAGACAGATAGATAGATGGATCGATAGATCAATGGATGGATAGAGAAATAGATAGGTAGATAGACAGATCGACAGATAGACTGGTATGTTTATATGCATGTATGGGAAGATAGGCAGATAGGTTGGTGCATTGGGGAGTTGCCAATTATATACAGAAGACTGTATACAAGTGGTCTAAGCAGCCCTCTAACTCCAAAAACTTGTCAAACAATCCCTAGCCGTAGCCTAAGCTGCCCTTACACACCAAACCTGACAGCCCCTCCTAACCAACTCGCTGAGCCGAAGCAGAAGCTCCTCAACAGACGATGGTGGAAGTGCTAACGATCAATCCAACAAACTGCTCCAGCCCATGCTTGCACTTTTGACCACACCGTGGGCAATATCCTCATGCCTGGAACATTCTCCAGGTTCGAACGCTCTACAAGTGAGGTTCCGGCCAACACCTAGTTATGAAAGGCCATGCACCATGTACACCCGAGGATTACACCAGGACGACCACGACCACCAAGACCACCACGACGATAAAGACCGGACCAGAACCACGAGGGCCAGCCCGGTGACCAAGACGGAATTGCCGTGTGCGACCCCGCGTCGCACACCGCGCGGGGACATTGACCAATACCTCTTTACCTCGATCGCAGAAACCCCATGGTGTGGCATCTCATGCCACAGCAGCTCCAAAAGATTTCGAAATCACCCTACACCCCATCGGTGAATCCTCAACCTCAAGTGAAACTGGAGATGCAACTCAATGGCCACTGCACGAAGCTGTAGCAAAAAAACTGAGCCCTACTTATTCGGGCCCCTTTCCTAACACTCCACGAAAAGCCCGGCTTGTAACACTTGTAGAACCGTTATATACGGTTTAGGGTTTAGGGGTTCAGGATTTAGGGTTGAGGGTTTTGGGAACCCTTAGCCTTCAGCTCATAACCGGAGAACCTCATCAGACAGGGCCTTGTGCCCATGTGCCAGCTGGGTGTTTATAACATCCACAGAGCAAGGCGTAGCTTGTTTTTAACAATCCCCAAGCCCCAGGGTTTGGGGTTTAGGGTTTAGGGCTTAGGGGTTTAGGGGTTTAGGGTTTCGGGGTTTAGGGTTTAGGGTTTAGGGGTTAGGGTTTAAGGCTTTGGAGCCTAATGTTTGGGGTTGGATTAAAAGCCACAGGCGGCCCACAGAAGCCCGCAGCTATGATAAACACCCAGTTCCATCGATCGGCACCCCAGGCACGAAGCTACTGGAGCCTCACAAGCTCCCAAAACGGCCCTGGGCTACGTACTTTACCCATCGAACTTGGGAGTCCGACTGCCGAGGTTGATCCTCTTGTCTCCCAGTGCCCTCGTCGTGGCAGGAGTTACGGGTCGCTCTACATAAGGATTTCCTTTCGAAGGTCTTTCTGTGCAGAGGAGGGCAACCCCGAACCCTAAACCCCAAACCCTAAACCCTTGACCCTAAACCCCAAACCCTAAACCCTTAACCCTACGTCCCTGAAGGGCAACACAGGATACTTATCTCAGGCAGAGCAGAACTACCTTCATAGAAGCGGAGCCTTAGCTCTGGGCATGGCGATGACGCCTTTCATATAGGGGCCTTAATAATTAGAATAGGGTTTTGGGGTATATTATATAATTAGAATAATGTTTTGGGGTATATTATATAATTAGAATAAGGTTTGGGGGTATATTATACTATTCTTAGAATACGGAACTCCCAACATAACATAGGTAGTTAGTAAGGCCCCTATATTAAGCCACGCCCATGGGCCCAGTGACAGAAAGGAGCGTAAACTCCTGGACCTGGCAGAGCCAAGAGCTGGGGCTGCTATGGGTTCGGGTTTAGGGTTTAGGGTTTAGGGTTTAGGGTTTAGGGTTTAGGGTTTAGGGTTTAGGGTTTTGGGGTTTAGGGTTTAGGGTTTAGTGGCACCATCCAGTTCTACAGGGTTTAGGGTTTAGGGGCTGAATAGAATATGAACCACATAGCCTCATATCGTACAAGGCCGTATGGAACGAACAGTAGACTCTAATGAGGCGAAGATCGCTTCAGTCCATCAAGCTTCGACTGCAAGGGGCAAGACTCCGGGCAGACTTGAACTATGGGATTTCAGAAAGCAGAAGCGCCCTTAGAACCATAATAAAAATAAACCGCTGTAGCAAAACAGTGAACTCCCGAACGAAGCTGGGAAAGTTCAGGGTATTGTGCCTTATTCAAGGCCTTATGATTGCGGGTTCTACGACAGAATATTAGGGGTACCTTTTTCAAGGCTCCATGTTTAGGGTCCCGTGCTTCCTGAAATTCCCGCATGGCCGAGGCGCGCTGTCGAAGCTCTTGTTGGGAACCATACCTCAGCTTTTTCTACAGCTGAAGAACGTTCGGGAGTGTAGTTAGGGATCTGGTTACCGCTTTTTTGGTGAAGCTTTCGGAGTTTCGTGATGCCTCATGTGTATGCAACGACGGCAGGTCATGCCCCAAAGACAGAAAACAAACTCATTAAGCTATCATGTGACACCCCAAGCCCGAATCGCTACAGTTCAACGGCATCCGAGCTTCTCAGCTGAGAGATGCTCCAGGAATTCCTCGGCTGCGCAGTTGGGGGTTTCTCAAAGCAGGGATCCTTTCTGCGGGTCCTCATGATAGGACCTCATCATTCTCGGCATGCGAGTCCGTTTGGAGTAATGGCAAAGGCTTACAGTTTCGTCGCACTACCATCACAGGAGCAGGAACTGCAGGAGAACATTATGAATGGCAGCGAAAGAAATCGAAGATTCAGATATACATAACCGAACATTAACAGCCGCCTTGACACGTGCAAACACATGCATGTATGGATGTGTGGGTGAATATGCATGGATATGGATGTATATGTATGTATGTAGCTATGTGTGTGTATGTATGTATGTATGTATGTATGTATGTATGTATGCATGTATGCATATAAGTATGTACGCGTGCAAATGGGCATATCTGTGTGAGAGTGCGTGCCTATGTAGGTATATGTATGCATATGTATGTTGTATGTGCGTGTATAAGTATGTAAAAGTATATACGTGTATGTCTGTGAATGTATATATGCATTTATGTATGTATGTGTGTGTGTATATATATGTATATGTATGCGCGTGTGCGTACATGTGTATGTATGTATATGTACGCATGCGTGTATGCGTATGTATATGTATGTGTATGTATATATCCATGTACATACACATATACAGGTATACACATCTTTGACTATTTATTGCTGTGCATACGTGTATACTGCATATATACATAAATATATATACATGTATACAAACACGTGTAAATATCCACCGACATACATGCATACATACATACATACATGCATACATACATACATACATACATACATACATACATGTAGATATGCATGCCTTGTCTATGTCTATCATGTGAATGCCTTCCTTCGCCTATGCTCTAGGTCTGCCGGTCTGCCCGGATGCATGCATGTACGCATGTAGCGATTCAAGTACTTAAGTGTGCATACATGCTGTTGCTTGCATGCAGGTACGTATGTATGCAGAAACCCGCATACAGAAACAAATACGGGTAGAGATACACAGGCATGAACACACTTTGCGCGAGTAGGCAGATGCAGCAACCGCGTGTGTGTATGCATGGATGCATGTATGCATGCATGTATGAACTTACCTATGGATATATATATATATATATGTCTGTCTGTCTGTCTGTCTGTCTGCCTGCCTGCCTGTATGTATGAGTTTATGTATCATTATGTATCGTTATGTACCTGTAAAGCGCATATGTATACGTACATGTATAATATGCGCATGCATCTGTATAGGTGCACCTGCATGCACATGCAAGTTCATGCTTATGCAGTATGTTCGTGTATTAGCATGCAATGCAAGTTCTCGGTGCACAGACCCGTCAAGCTCTGGGCTAGTGCCCGAATGCAGAAATCACTCCTGAGGCTCTACCGCAAACCCTAAACCCCTAAACACGACACCCTCAACGCAAAATCCGCCGAAACTCCGAACCCGAGACCCTAAGCAAAAGACCCGAAGCCGTAAGCGACCCAGTATCCGCCGGAGCGTAGGCTCTGAATTCGTCCGCCGATCATGGAGGAGGGGGACACCTTGGACTGCAAAGCCAGTGTTTACGGTTGAGTGTCTTGGGTGTAGGTTCGGATTTAGGATTCCGCGTATGCGAGTCAGTGAATTCAGAATTATTCAAGGCCGTGAGCTGTTTTCAGAGGATCCTTTAAGGCTATCCAGACATTTCAGCCGTACTGCCTAAAGCGCGAGTTGGAATTAGCTGGGACGGACGGCGACCCAAAAAAGAACCAAATGCAGGTTCCATAACCTGTGAGCCCAAGAACTCATCCTAAAGCCACAGCGACTGCTCAATTGCAAAATACTGAACCCTCTCTGTCTAGACCTGCCTCTGAAGTCAATAACTGCATTCAAACAATTACAACAATGGTCAGCGTGATGCAAGTAGCAGCAGTGCAATCTCAACGATACCTGCCTAAGCCACAAATTATTCATTCATGCCGCTGCCCAAACCTGCTTTTGCACTCATGGTCCAGTGGGTGCTCTTCCGTCGTATCCCGGCACAGTCTTCATTGGCTGTGCATCCGCGCAGGAAGCATGTACTGTCAGCCGCTGTTGTTGGAAGTCCAGCGATGTGGTAGATACGATCACTATAGGGGCCTTAATAGTTAGACTAGGGTGCTGGGGCCCAAAATACTATAACTATAACAAGGAACCCCAAAATAGTACAGTATAGGTAATTCTTTAGGCCCCTAGATCACTCTAATTCCTGGAGCAGCTTTCTTAAGAAAACTCTCAATCCCGGCCGGGCTCTCAAAAGTACAGATATTCGTTGGTATTCCCACTTCGAAAACTTACGCCCATTGGCAAAGTCCGCATCTTCAAAAATTGGATTTTTGGGTTCCACTGCAGCCTGGTGCCTGACGATTTCGCCTTTCATCGCCCTGAGCCGCTTCAGAATCACTTGCTTCCGGAGGGTTAAATCAAACAAGATGTCCGGCTGCGACCGGAGTAGCTCCAAGTCCGCCTTCGTACTGTTCTTGGCCAGGAAACCGATGCACCTTTCGTACTGCCTTGTGAGGCCGTGCTTGTGCGCTTGCAGAAGGCGACGGGCAGTGGGCGCACAGAGAAGCAGACACTTCTCGCATCCCTGTTTGATGATCTCAACCTGGTAGTAGTCGCTGATTGCAAGAAGCGAATCCACATTGTTCACGGTTACTTGCGCGCCCCATGCCATAGGTAGCAAAAACTCGTAGAACACTTCGAACTCCTCCTTGCTGGCCACTTCCACTTTGATGACGCCTTGTTGCGCTTCCCTCATGCCACTCGTGAACATGCGGTTGAAAACTGGAGATGCCATCCGAAGCAAAGCAGAGTTAGCCGGCATGGAGTCCTCACCATTCTCTCCAAACTCCAGGCGCAGATCGCTAACCTGCTCCGCAGTGGCTGTTAAAGGCCCTCCTGAGCTTCCGGGAGCTTCCGCTTCGAGGCGTGGCCTTTTGCTTCCCCTGGTCGTCATGGCCAATGCACTCTCTGGGACGAAGCTTGGCTAAACCCTGGTGCCCGAGACTTGTTGCCAGCTAAGTCCTGTCAAACCTCGGCGCTGCCTGTCAAATGGACACCAAAAGTTGTGGGAAGTGTCAACTCAATACCTGAAGCCCATTACGGCTTTAACGTTCGCGATTGGGGTTGGGATTCTTGCAGAACTCGCCAGTATTCCCCCTGCGACTGTGATCTTGAGGCTCCTGGTTTCCGGATTCGGGCCTGTGGGGCGGGCGTGTCGGATATATATACATATATATATATATATACACATGGAGTACTTAAGTGTTTCAGGCACACTCCCTTTGTCCACTTGAGCAACATTCCGCGAATGGTACTAGGATGGCCTACTTTTCTGACCTCGCTACGGGCTTCTTGCTTCCCCAAGACCCTTAACCCTAAACCCTAAACCCCCTAAACCCTAAACCCTAAACCCCCTAAACCCTAAACCCGAAACCCGAAACCCCTAACCCCTAAACCTCTAAACCCCTAAACCCTAAACCCGGGACAAGGGGTTCGGACAATTCTGTCAGCCCCCTACACCTGCAAGCATTGTCTGATGTCACCGCTCAGCGTAAGCCTGGAAATCAAACTCCGGCCCGGAGCTCCTAAAGTAGGGGCCTTAAGAATTAGAAGAGGGTTTGGGGTATATTGTACAAGTACTAGACTTATAATATCTTATAACAAGGTTTTGGGGTATATTGTACTATACTTATAATATCTTATAACAAGGAACCCCAAAGTAGTATAGGTAATTACTAAGGCCCCTATCTTGCACCTATAGGGTCTAGGGCCGGGGTTCGGCTTGGGAACTGAGGGGGCCAAGCAACTGGTGCCTTTGCATCGGGAAGTTGTCTTTTCCAAGCTGTGAACGTATGATTTCTTGCACCCGACGCCCACAATTCCGACAAAGAGACGCTCTTCGTCCTGGGCATCTGCGATCTTGACGATCTCCTCGAGATCTCAGAGATAACGACCCTGCCCTAAACCCAACTATGAATCGCGGTAGTAGCAAAGTGATTTGACTTGGACTAACACACCTCTGCTGCTGCTGCTGCTGATGATGATGATGATGATGGCGATGATGATGATGATGATGATGATGATGATGATGGTGGTGGCGTCGAGGCATGGGGGCTGGGGTAGTAGTGCAGTTAGTATTCGTGGTGGAAGTAGCCACGCTATTTGCAGTAGCAGCTGTAACAGAAATAGCTGCAGTAGCAGAAATAGTAGCAGAAGGAGCAGTAGCAGCAGCTGCAGGAGGAGTAGCACGTCTAGTAGTGGTTCTAAGTATCTCTGCATCATCCGTTTACACTGCAAGCCATACGCATGATCCGAAAGTTTTCTACGACCGGCAGACAGCAAATACATGGAAATCTTTGATCCTCCTCCTCATCTCCGTGAAGGAGGAGCAGAGCCAGCGTGCTACCAATCACCAGCACAACGCCGGCAATGAAGATTACCTGGGCAGAGCGGCTCGAAACCCAGCGATATCGAGTGCCACGTCACATTGCACCAGGGGAAGACAAGATTGCGCACTTCCTGCCTGCAACACCCATAAGAAGGTCCGCCGTTGACATTCTGATGAAAGCTCCAAACCTCCTTCCGAACCCGATACTCACGCTCTTTTTCTGCCCACAAAACCCTCTTTAAACTCTTCACAGCTGGACGGCGATGTTGGTGGCTCCTCCGATATCATTCAGCTCCCCAAAAGCCATCTCTGCCTTGCTTATGAGTCCAGGGACCCTTGGGTTGGTGATTCGGGGGTACGAGTAGGGTTTAGTGAGAAATATGCTTTTGGGGTTTGGCTTTAGGTGCGGAGGGCCGGAGGGGGTGTGCAGCTTTAGGGTTCCGAGTGGCTGATGTATTGTCGACTGTGCTTATCTGCTCCGGCAAAACTTCCTCCACTCCTCGATTTCTGTCCTTCTTGTCCCTATGTGTTTCCGACGGTATCGACCGAAACAATTGGGCCCCAACATTCCGTGGGCGGTATGCTTGTGATCTACTAGCAGGAAATAGACCGGCCACGCCGTGGTTGACAACCAATGCCTCCAAGCCTCAATCCCCATCCCCTGAATCCTATGTAAGACTACCCTGATGCCCCAAAAGTTTCCAAACTCGCAGAACATGGAAGAGGCCTGGAAAAGGGAGAAGAGAACCCCCAAGGCAAAGAAGGTCGGGATGATCGTGACCACCTCGCCGTGTCCTCGTCGGCCAGGTTTTCAATTTTGGGCCAGGGGTCTGGAAGTCTGGAATAGCGGAAGAGTCGATAGACAGGTGAATTAGGAGTTGCGTGTACTGAGACTGACTTGTAGTATTGCCTCGAACTGTAATTCCCAAGCCCTGATCCGCAAAACTTCTGCGGATGTACTGTGGCCATCGACAAGGCCTACCTCATAAAATCAGAAATGGGAAATTGCAACAACCCCCCGGCCCTACATGCAACAGCATTACCTACGCACTAGTCCTGCTGCTTCTGCTACTGCTACAGGCGTCCGCTAAAGTCATGCCTATGTCATGCTGTCATGCCTTTGGGTGCTTCCCCCATCAAAACGCAAAGAAACCAAAGTCATGCCTAAGTCATGCCTTCGCGGCTTCCCCAAGTAAACGAATGCGAACAACGCAGCTCAAGGAAACAACCCGACCAGTCCAGATCGAAACCCCAAGTCAACGCAGGTAATTGCAGAACATCTTGCAAGACCCGACGACAACAGGCATCCCAACGGGATGTGGGAACACCCATGTACACGCAGATTAGGCACGACTTCCGGAAACCCTTCCCCCCAGTGATTTCAAGGATTTCACAAACACAGGCAGGACTTAAGCAAGTTCCTGTACCACTACCACCAGACCAGTACTACTACTGCTACTACTCCTCCTCCTGCTGCTGCTACGACGACGACTACTACTCCTCACAACCACCATCGCAGTCAGAGTCGTCGTCGTCACAATCAGAGTCGTTGTCCTCCTCCTCCTCCTTCTCGTCGTCGCGATCATCAGCATCATCATCTTCGACACCATCATCATCACTACTACAAAGAATAAACCTGAAAGAAAACGGAAACACGTCGAGCTGCGAAGACCCAAGTTCAGCGTGTGAACCTGCCGGGGTTGTTCTGGCTGTTTGGTGTAGGGGCTCAATAGATCAGGTGAAGGACACAATATAAGCCATACAATAGGGACACAGATGGGGATACCCCGCTTGCCAGTGTCAAGTCCTGCTTAGACTCATAATAGATCATCTCTATAATATATATATATATATG